TCCAAGGACCCTGGTCTCTGACCCTCCATCTGGCATCCAGGGAGCCTGGGGGCCCTGAGAGCCAGGTGAGCTCTGCAGCTGTGGCCAGGCTGGCTTGTTCCTGCCAGCTCCTGCTGCACCTGCCTCCTCATTCTGGCCCTCTCCTGGACCTCCACAGGCCTTCACTTCCACTCTTCTCCTTCTCGCCTGACGTCGAGGGACACTGGTGCTTTGGAGGTGCTGCCACACAGCTCTGCCTGCTCTCCGATATGTACACGCTGGACATCTGCTTGACTCAGGTCTAACTCAAGCTTATAACGCTCTGTGGACTTGGAGATTCTCGTTCTGGCCCCACCTTGGCAAGGGCCAGACCTGCTATTTTGGTTAATTCTCTCCTCCGTCTGAACCCCACCCCCTTCTGGCTCTCTTCTATCTTCCTTGGACCTCTGAGGCTATTGCCCCGACTGTCACCTCCATGCAGGCAGCATCAACCTTCTCGTTATTATTCCTAACGGTCCCTCACAATGTTTGTGAAGTTGAACTGATGTCACCGAAAATGTGACTGTTTTCAGAGTAAGACAACAGTTGGTGTGTGACCAAGGGACAACCACCAGGGAACAAGCCCATGCTGAGTCTGGAGACTGGTGTGGGATGAACACAATGAACCACACCTTCTGCAGAGGAAGGTCTGACATCTTCCCCCCTTCCTCAATAGTATGCTCAGGGAGAGGGGAGACGTCTCGCCTGAGCCACACTAACCAGCAGCAACCAGTGCTTCTAGTGTTCTGACAATCTGCAGCTAAAAATCACTAGGAACTTGTATTAGTTAGGCTTCTCCAGAGAGACAGTGCCCATAGGTACACATACATTTATTATAGACACTGGCGTACATGGCTATGGAGGCCTGGATGTCCCACCATCTGCCATCTGCAAGCTGGAGAATCAGGAAGGCCAGTGGTGTAGTCCAGTCTGAGTCTGAGGCCTGAGGACCAGGGGGCTGATGGTGTTAGTCCTGGGCTGAGCAGGAAGGCCTGAGAACCAGGAGCACCAATGTCCGGGGGCAGGAGAAGATGGACGTTCCAGCTCAAGCAGAGAGAGGGAGAGAGAGGAAGGTAGAGGGAGGGACATAGGGAAGGAGAGAGTGAGAGGTAGGGAGAGAGGGAGGGAGGCTCATCCTTCCTCTGCCTTCTTGTTCTGTTCAGGCCCTCCTTGGGGTGCTTGGTGCCCACCCACATCTACTTTACTTAGTCCCCCAATTCAAATGCTCATCTCTTCCAGAAACACCATCACACACACTAAAGAAATAATATTTTGCCAGATATCTGGGCATCTCTTAGCTCAAGTCCACCCGTTATCAACTTGGCACTTATAGACATCTTCTTAAACCATACTTAATCTCTGAATAAAGACAATAACAAGGTTATAGTTCCACCTAATGTGATACAACTATCCTGTGTGCAACCAAAAATGCACTAACCCCTTCCTTAGAAAAGGAAGTCCTTGAGTGATGTTTACTCTTCTTGTGATATCCCATAACCTAAATATCATGATGTAGAATTAACAATACTTAATTACTGATATAAAGTTAATACATCTTATGTTATAAGGAATAAGAAAGCAAAGAAAAAGATATTTGCTTAATACACATGTATATACATACAAACATATTAATAATATAACATTTATAACAATGTTTGTAACTCACAACAATTACAGTCTTTGTTTCTAAGCTCATCACTGGGCTGTAGCAGGTATTGATGACTACCTTCTTCTACTGCCCATTCTGTGTTCCCTTTGCCTTTATGCAGCTGGTCATGGTTCTTTACCTGGTGGGGAGCCAAACTGTCATCCCTGAAGGATGTGGCCTAGGATTGGCAGTCCTGCCTGGATTGGGTTGTTGTAGTTTTCCATTGACCTCGATCACAGGGCATAGTAAAACTAAGAGATGCCCTACAGGATCTCCTGCATTCCAGACGTGCTCTTCCTGACCTCCACTGTGGAGTAGGAGTCAACTTCCCCTTGGTAGTCTGAATTAATCACCCCAATCAACACAGTAACTCCCTTGGCCTGTTGACTGAGAGGCATGGGGACCCAAAGTGGCCGGGTGGCGGCCTTGACTTCCAGTTCAATAGAGTCACTGTTGTGTGTCCTGGTGGAAGCATTCCTCCCTCTGGAGCTTAGATCTCTAGGCCAGCAGAGCACTCAGTGTTGGGAAGAGGAGTGGTCTGGGATGTACTAGTATGATCTGCTCCTCTTCCTCCTTGAACCAGTAAAAGCCCCTCTTGGATGAGAATTTTCTTGTCCACAGTTGACTTTGATGTATCAAGAATACTTGGAAGAGTCAAAAAATGTCAAAAAAGCATTTTCCTATTTTCTTTTCATTGAAAGGTGGGTGGTTTGAGCTCGGTGAACAGCACAGTCTTGCTGTCCTGTAGGAGGTACAGAGTAAAAAATGTCAAAAAAGCATTTTCCTATTTTCTTTTCATTGAAAGGTGGGTGGTTTGAGCTCAGTGAACAGCACAGTCTTGCTGTCCTGTAGGAGGTACAGAGCTTTTCCCCATTATGAACATGTTGCAGTAAACATCTTTGTATACATCCTTCACAATGGTGACTGTGTTTCTACAGAAGCAGGATTACTGGGTTGAAGGGATAGATATTTTAAATTTTAAAATGGAAAACTTTTAAATCGTCAGATCGCTTTTTAAAAAAAGCACTCTTTTTCCCTACGTCCCTGCTAGCAATAGGCGCTATAGTGCTTTAAACTTTTTCCATAGTTTGATGGGTATAACGCAATGTTTCACTGTTATTTTAATTTACATTTCCCTGATTGCTTGTGGTTTGAGTGTCTTTGCTATATTCACTGGGTGTTTGAACTCCCTCTTCACTGTATTCCCTATTCATATCATTTGCCCAATTTTTAGATCCAGTTATTTGTCTTATTCTTGTCAGTTTGTAAGAGTTTTTATGTAGGATAATTACTAAACCTTTATCTGTCCTGTATGCTACAAATGTTTTTTGCAGACCTATACTTTGTCCATTGTCTTTATTTATGAATATTACTTGCTACGCAAATTCTTTAAATTTTTATGTAGTTAAGTGTGGCTTTTTCTTTTTTCAGCCTCTGGGTTAGGCAGGTCTTCCCTCACTCAGACTATTCGTGAAATCTCCTAGATTTTCTTGCAAGATTTTTTCTTTTTTCACTTTTAAATAAATAAATACCTTTTGAATTGCAACATACATATATGCACATACACATAAAGCACAAATCCTACATGTGCACAGCTAGATGAATTTTCACAAAGTGAACACGCTCACATAACCCACATAAAGAAATAACCCCCAAGTTCGTCCCGAGCTCCTTCCCAGTCACTACCTATTCCCAAGGTAGCCTCTTTGCTGACGTCTAACATTAGATTAGTTTTACATAAAAGCTTTTATTTATTTATTTTTAAATTAAAAATTTAATCCATTTGGTGTTTTGAATATGTCTTGAGATGGAAATCCCACTTTTCCCCACATTAATGGCCAATTGTACTATCACAAACTATAAAATAGTTCGTTTTTTTTTTTTTTCGCTCAATTCTAACATTGTGGTTAAAAAATATTTCAATCTAGCATGATATATTTCTGGATTCTCTACTCACTTTTATTGATATACTTTTCCTATACGAAGGTCTTACTGATTAGAGCACAGTGGCGTATGTATTGTTCTGTCTGGTGAGATGGACCCCCAAATACTTTGCCTCCCAGCCCTGACCCTGCCTTCTGTTTGACTTCTGAGATACTATCAGCCATTTATTCTTCTCATTTTTTTTTGAGGTCAAGTTATGCATTTCTAAAATATAAACCAAAAAAACCCAACATTAATTTCCTGTTGGGTTCTATTGGGTATAGCATTAAATTCCCATGTTAATTGGAGAGAATTAACATTTTTGTACTGGCTTCCAGGGAAAACATGGTTTGCCTTTCTATCCATTCTAATCTTGTTACGTTCAACAGTAAGATTTTATAGTTTTAAAATATGAATCCTGTGTCCTTCCTGATAACGTTATTTTTAAGTATTTTATTTTTCCTAGGTGTACTTAGGAATAATTTCATAGTTTTTGTTGCTACTGTAAATGGAATATTTTGTGCTATTCTTTTCGATGCTTATTTCTAGAGTACAGAAAAACTATAAAAAATATGTTTCTCTTGTATTCTGCCCCTATGTTAGTCTGCTCAGGCTGCCATAACATAATTCCACAGGCTGGGTGGCTTAAACACAGACATTTATTTTTTCACAGTTCTGGAGGTTAAAAGTCCATGATCAAGGTCTCCTGTTTCTGGAGAGACCTCACTTCTTGGCTTGCAGATGACCTGCGTTCTCACCGGGTCCTCACATGCTTTACCTCAGTGATGCTCTGAGAGAGAGAGAGAGATGATCCTTTTATAAGAACACCAGTCCTATTGGTCACCCTTATGACCTCATTTAACCTCAAATGTTAGGGGTTAAGGTATTAACACTTTGGGAGACACAATTCAGTTTATATCAGCCTCCTTACCAAATTATATTAAATCTTGTAGTAGGTTTTTTCTTTATTAAAGATCCTTGAATTTTCTAGGTTTACAATAATATCTCCAAGAAAAAAAAGAAGGAAAAAATCCCCAAACTCTTTCTTTTTTCCAAATGGTTATGTGCATCATTTCATACGTGTCTTAGTATACTCATGTCTAGAAGCTCTAAGACCTTTAAAAAAATTGATAGTGATAGAAGGATAGAAGGAATTTCTGTCAAGACGGTATTAGTGTTTTGTCATTCAGGATAATATTTGCTGGTGTTTTTTTGGTAAACTTTTTATTATATTTAGGTATAAATATAATAATTTTTCTATTTCTCTTTTGTACAGTTTTTATTAATTTCTGTCAAGACGGTATTAGTGTTTTGTCATTCAGGATAATATTTGCTGGTGTTTTTTTTGGTAAACTGTTTTTATTATATTTAGGTATAAATATAATAATTTTTCTATTTCTCTTTTGTACAGTTTTTATTGGGATTGGCTGCTGAATTTTATGACGTACTCTTCTAGAATCTGTCAGTAGCTGCCCATGCCGTCTTACCGCTCACCTGTGTGTACCAGAGGTTGTTTGCTATGACATGGTGATTCTCTCTTTACCCAGGAGTTTTTCCTTCTGGCCTTGAGCACTGTAGGGCAAGCCTGAAGTGCCAGAAGATGAACGCCTCTGCAGTAGTTCTCAACTAATGACAGGTGGGATCTGGCAGACAGCTTTCTGGTGTCCTTGCCTCTTGGTAGAGCTACATGTGGAGCGTGCCCAGAGCTCCCCAGTGGCTGAGCTCCAGCTGCCACAGTGGGGCCTGGTTTTATTGGCTCCCTCCCTTCTCTGTCCCACCTCCTCATCCCCTATTGGTGTTTCCTGGATCATGTCCTTAGTAACCAATTTTTGTTTGAATCCTTCTCTCAGGGTATGCTTTTGGAGAAATCTAAACCGAGACAGTTGTGGAATCATAGGATTTTCTCCATTAGTTTACTGATTTAATGCATGTCAACAAACCAGTTGGTGGGCCAGCTGCCTGTTTTTGAAAATAAAGTTTTACTGGAACACAGACACACCCGTTTGATTACTATTGTCTAAGGCTGCTTTTGTGTTACAATGGCAGTTGAATAGTTGTAACACAAACCATATGCCTGAAAGTCTAAAATGTTTACTGGCTAGTCCTTTAAGAAAAAGTTTTCCAGAGCCATTGTAATGAATTAATTTGATGGATATCGTAATACTTACTGAACACTCCATATATTACTAAAATAAGCTCTATTTTTTCAAACTGTGCTATTCTTTTGGTAATTTGCTAAAATTCTATTTGCTAATCTGTGTATATTTTGCACATATATTCATAAGTGAAACTGGTTTATGGCTTTTTCTTCATTCTTCTGTTTTTCAGGCTTTTGTATTAAATGTATTTTGGCTCCATGAAAATTGGAAAACTTTTTATCTTTTTCTATATAAATAATGTAAAACACATGGGAATTATGTAGTTTTTAAAGGTTAGCTATAAGGTCATGGAACCTTTTTAATGTTATTAGGATTTTTATCTTTAAACACTTTTCTAATGTCTTTTTAAGAAACTGGTTTATTCAAGTTTTCCATTTCTTCTTGGATCGATTTTTGAGAGTTTTCATTTCCTTTTTTAGGCAATTATGTTTTAGCCGATGTCTAAGACGGCAGTGGGAGGACGGGAGGAACACCCAAAATGGCTGCGGAGAGTCTCAGGTCCCTAGAACAGCACGTTTTCTGACAATCATAAAAGCACCCCTGCCCCTTCTTCTTCACCACCACATCCCCTTCCCCCACGTGCGAATTTCCCCACCTATAGAAGAGTCCCAGCTCAGCTTAAACCCCGCTGGCTTCCCTCCCCTTCCTTCTCAGCCAATAGGAACAGTCCGGCTCAGCCTAACTGGATATAAAAGGCCCACCCTGACTCTCCCTGCGGCTGCTCCCACTTCCCAGAGGGCAGCCCATGTGTTCATTTTGCCTGCCTGATACACTTTGGTTGAGTCCCTGTCTCCTGGTGTGTTTTATTATCGCGATCTAGCCGGGGTTTTTTCCTTTCACTTTTGGCGTTCACTTATGTTGTCTTAAAGCTGCATGTACTATTCTTTCATAATTATTTTTGTTTGTATCTGATATGTGTCATTCTCATTCTGATTGTGGCCATTGGTGCTGTCCCTCTTTTTCACTGTCAGAGTTGTAAGAGCTTTATCTATTTATTGACTTTTTAAATAACCAACTTTTTGGATTTTTTTTTTACCCTTTCTACTGTTTTTTTCCTGTTTCATTAATATCATCTTTTACCTTCATTAATTCTCTCTCCATAGCCCTCTTTTTCACTGTCAGAGTTGTAAGAGCTTTATCTATTTATTGACTTTTTAAATAACCACCTTTTTGGATTTTTTTTTTTACCCTTTCTACTGTTTTTTTCCTGTTTCATTAATATCATCTTTTACCTTCATTAATTCTCTCTCCATAGTTTTTTTTTGGTTTATTTGTTGTTGTTGTTCCAATTTCTCTACTTGAGTGCTTAATTCCAAGGTTTGCTGCAGGTTTTGTGAGGCCTGAAGCTTTTATAATTTGGGGAAACTTCTTTTTAAAAAGTTACAAAATTATGAATATAAAATTAAATATAGGGGTCTGTGTAAATGAGGAGCTCTGAAACCTCCTAAGCAGCGTAGACCATCTCCCTCAGACTACTTTCTTCATCTTTCCATACTTCTCTTATAATAAAGAAAGTGTTTAAGGTTATATGTTTCTAGCTCTTTGTGTGTCCCGTAAGTGAAGCCAGTAGAAGAACTTGCATAGACCACTGAAAGAAAGAGCTTCCAAGCAAGAGTTCTGCACCCAGCTAGGATGTCATTCATCTTCAGGGTAAAAGATGTTTGTGTATAGACAAGAATCCATAGAGTATATATCACCCACATACCCTGTCTGAGAAAAATAATGAGAAAAGATCCAGATAAAACAATAAAGAAACAGAGAGAAATCTCAAGGTGAGGAAAGTGAGAAAAAATACATATGTGTGTATATATGTTTGAAACAAGTGCATAAGGATAAATAGTCTGGAACTGTGTAGCATAAGTACAAGAGAAAGAATCTAAAAAAGAAAGCACTAAATTATCTTACCGTAATAGAGGGGCTGGTTTGTGGGGGGGAAAGGGGTAAGGAAAATGTTCCAAATATTTTAAGAGGAGTTGTGAAGGAAAGGGAACAAATATGAAAATTTTCTCCTTATTCTTTTAAAATGGAGTTGGCAGCTTCTGGTCAAGATGGTGGAATAGGTGGTCCCCAGAGTCACTCTCTCCCACAGTCGACCAATTTACAACTACTAAAAAAGCAATGGCAACCAAGCTGGGGCTGCTAGAACTCAGGGGAAGAGGAGGAGAGACCTATGGAGTGCACAAAGTCAGGAGAAGCCACGGTGAGAGAAAGAAAGTACTGCTCCAACCATCTTGAGCCCCAGCCGCGTCAAGGCTGGCCCTGGTGAGCACACAATGGGAGCTGGCAAAAGCTGCAGCTGTGCCCTTTGTGTCCCCTCTGGTTGCTCAGAGGCTGCAGGGGAGAAGAGGGCCTTGGTGGGGCCAGCTAGACCACTAACAGGGTTCCTGTGGACCCACATAGGAGCAAGGAGCCACAGACAACTGAGAGAGGGAAGGACTGAGAGGCGGGTGAGTCATCTGAGTCACAGCAAGGGATCAGTGTTCAGCTGGTCCCATGGGAAGTGGAGTGTGGAGGGTGGAGGAGACGGGCCACTGGGGGAACCCTTGGCACAGCATGGAAAGCTGGTCTGTCCTCCAGTTGGTACAGGACCACTCAGTGGAGACTGGTCAGGAATATAGAACTCTAGGGGGTACAGTTTGCTGAAAAGATTCAAACCCAGACCAGAGTTTCCACACAACCCAGGAGTATGGGACCTCACAAGACTCAGAAGTGCTTACAAGGTCAACAATTAAAACCTGAGTTGCACAAAAAGCTTTCCCCAGAGAACCAGCAGCAAAGCAGCAATTTAGCTCAACCACAGGGCTCAAGTGCTGGTCTCTACAAGAAGTCCCCCATTTTAGGGGCCGGCCGGTGGCGCACTGCTACAGTGCGCCAATTGGGAGTGCGGCGGCGCTCCCGCCGAGGGTTCGGATCCCACATACAGACCCGCCGCTCACTGGCTGAGTGAGGTGCGGACGCAACACCGAGGGTTGTGATCCCGTTGCCAGTCCCGGTCCGGTACGGGCGCAACACTGAGGGTTGCGATCCGTTGCCGGTCACGAAAAAAGACAAAAAAGGAAAAAAAAAAAAAAGAAGTCCCCCATTTTAGAAGTATGCAAAGAAATTAGTTCCAGTGCACAGTTTAAGTGGTGGGGGTAGCTAATAATCCAACACAGAAGTAAAAGAAAAACCAAAATCTCACAGATCAGAGACAAAATTTTGATATTAACCAGTGGAGGTCTAACACCACCAAAGAACACCTATAAAGCCTGAAAGAGCTGGAAGCTCCCCAGGCTCCTGAGCCAGGGTGGAGGGGTTCTGAGGGCCTCAGCACCCCTGTCCATGTCTGCATCCAGCCTGGCCATGGCTGACCTGCTGCCAGAAGCGCCAGGGGCCCATGAGCCGGGTTGTGGGTGTGAGGGTCTTAGCCATGCCCCTGATGTTCACATCCAGCCCAGCATCAACAGACAACCAAGCCACCTCTGGAAACCCTCCAGGATCCCAAGCTGGGACACCTGCGGGCGGGTGTCAACCACACCCCCTGCCAGCAAATGAGTTGGCTGTGGGCCAGCCCCACCTCCCCACCTCCACCTCTGTTTCCCTACCCCCCTTACCTGCCCCCCCCCACTGCTCTGCAACATTTTTGAATGTGAAAATAAAATTAAATTAAATAAATAAATGGGGTTGGCAAGTTGAGGATAAAAAGGTTTATTCTCCTTAATGTAGAGAATAAACCACAGCTGTCACTTCTTTCTTCCACCCTCCTCAGAGGTGACCACTCTTTTGAGTTTTATAATTATTGTTCCTTTTATTCTAGTTTTATACATGTATCTCCAAGTATTATATTTTTGTTTTGCCTGTGTATTAGTCTGTTTTTGTTGCTTATAACAAAGTACACTGAACTGGGTGATTTATAAAGAAAATGAAATTTATTGCTGACAGTTTCTGAGGCTGGGAAGTCCAAAGTCCATCTGGTGGTGGTGACAGTGACCCAGGGGTCTCACATTGCAAGATGGTGGAAGCAGAGAGAGCAGAGAGAGAAAGACAGACTCTCCTCTTCTTTTAAAGCCCTCAGAACCACACCCCTGACCACCGTTTTTAATCCATTCACTACTGCACGGTCCTACAATCCAGTCACCTCTTTCAAGGCCCCACCTTTCAATTATCGTAATAGGATCTCCCACCCTCTTAACAGTCATAGTGGGAGCTAAGTTTCTAATACATAAAACTTGGAGGACACAATTCAAGCTTCAGAGAGTTTTGGGGGAACATAATTCAATCTACAGCCTGGTTTTTTTTTGAAATATACATGTATAGTTTAATAATGCATGTACTTTTCCAAAACCTGCTTTCTCCTCATAATTATGTTTTTGAGATTCATCAGTATTAATACAGTATTTCACTAATTTTCACTGCTATAAAATATTCCATTATTTGATTTCACTATAATTTCTATACGAATTTACCTGTTTATGACATTTGGGTAGCTTCTCTTTTTATTGCCATTGTGACCGTTGTCACTCACGTTTCTTGGTGTGATAATTCTTCTGCAGTATTTGACTCAGCATGAGATTGCTGAGTCAGAGGGTGTACACATCTTCCGCTAATCTGGATAATCACAACTGTTTTCTGAAATGGTTAAACCAATTTATACTCGCACCAGCAGTGTATGCCATTTAGATCCACATCCTCCCTGAACTAGATTTCTATTGTTGCTGTAACAAATCACTACAAATGTAGTGGCTTAACAGCAACACAGATATATTCTCTTCACATTCCAAAGGTCAGAAGTCTGAAATCAGTTTCCCTGGCTCTAGCAGGGTGCTGATGGGGCTGGATCCTTCTGCAGGCTCTGA